ACGGCTAGTAAAACTGATATACGATTGAGATAGACCTCATGTGCCAACGGCCAGAGCTGGAACAGACGTAGGATTCATGTGGGAAGCTGAATAATGATGGAATATAAAAGAAAGTTCAAGTACGGCATCTAATAAAACACATGAAGATATTTATAATCTTCCAAAATGATAACGCACCGACAAAAAAGGAAATTAAATAAACAACACAATAGAAAATGATGAATATGATATGTGCAATAAACTAAAGTACTGAAGGTGTAAAGGTAATGTTGTATCTGCAAAACCAGCCAATAAATACCGATATAATCAAGAGAGTGAAAATTACTACCTTAAAACCATTTCCAAGATTGATGATTAAAACATACTTTAAGTGAAAGATGTTAGTTTAATAATTTCCATAAACATTGCTCATTTCATAGCTGTACAATTACATGTATGTATGTACGTGTTCATGTGAACGCACGCATTTTTCTAAGATAACAATCATTAGAAGAAACTATGTGGCTAATACAATAGGCACAATTACATAGCATTGTTTCTAATAGAGTCCGTTACATCTTACATCTTCTTCCGACGTATGAGTATGATCACGCAATTGATTTGTAGATAAGAAATGTGAAGTGTTTTTGTTAATTATTTTTATTATACTTGAAGAAATATCATTGTTTACTTTGCTTACATCATTATTGCAATCGGAACCGTTGAGTTTGTTTTATAGATGGCTTTAATGTTATTGGTTTTGATTGTTGTCTATTTAGATTTTTTGTCTGTTTTGTCTTTTCAAACTCTTCTTTTCCTTTCTTGTTAAATAAACAAAAGCATTATTGCAATTTTTTCGAATTTTTCTTATCAAATAACAATTCAGTAATGAGACAAAACAATGACAAAAATCACACATTGTCCATTACATAATGTTTAATTAGACATCATTACATATTCCACGGTAACGTTCCGCTGCCGGGCGTCGAACTCGCTTCCGCTGCGCGCGCGCACCGATGATAACCATCGAGACTTATTATTTAAATTTTGTAATACCATGCTCTTATGAATATTGAGTTGTGTTGTTACGGACGCTTGTTTTATGAAAGAAATTGCCGCAATGTTTCCGTTAATTTTTAAAGTGATTCATGATGATACAGATTGATTACACACGTACACACCTAAATGCATATTTTGTAGTATCATTATGTATCCAAATTGTCAATAACTGCTGTGAATTTTACCTTGGAAAATAGGTTAACTCATTTAGATCTTAATGATGTACACTTGCAAGGTTTTATATGAGTATTATTGGAAATTTTTGCTGATTTTATTGCCCTGCAGTCGGTACTAAAGAACCCAGGCGCGAAGGTTATGGCACAAGTAATGACTACAACCAAGTTAGTTGATAAATCAAAGAAACTTAGTAATTTAACTTAGATTACTGAAAGTAAATAACTATGGATAGTCACGCAAGACTGGAGAAATATTGCATTAACAACAACATTAACCGAAAAAGTTGTTAGAAGTAGTTTTTCAATAAATAGCGTTAATAGACAAAGTTTTTAAAATGTTTATTTAGTAGTAATTTAATACTTCTAGTAACAGCAATTTTCTTATTAGTCCTTTAACCTTACTCTCTAAATTTTACTACAAGTTCAGTTTACTACGGATACACTTGAAAATAATCCCTGGATATATTTTGGGTGTAATGTTTACATTCCCACGTCAGCGCGTGTCGATAGCTTAACGAATACAAAACCGTATCAGAAAGGTGGATTGCAGAGCAACAGACAAAACTGAACTTTATTACAAAGGTAATAAACATAGGGGGATCTTTTAAAACTTGTGTCCAATTTTGGTATCACATCACCGTCAGATGTCAGTCAACTAACAGTGTGACTTGATGAAAACAGAAGTGTAGAAACGTCAAAGAATTTGTACAAAGAAGTGCACCAAGAATAACATTGAAGTAAGAAAAAAATAACGGTTTCCGAACCACTTCACCCGCCATTTTCTAAATTAGAACACAAACTGACAGCTAAGTTCGCGCCATAATTTATATGGTGCGTTCCGTTTTAAATGATGATGGGTGCGTTCGTTTAGGGACTTTTCTTTTTGAATATTCAAATATATTTTTGGAAAGATATATTTTATGCAGAAGAGTTTATATTTTGGAGATTGAGGTGTTTGTCATTGTCGAACAAGTCTAATTCAGGGTAGGTTCTATTTTAAATCGCACCAAACATGACCGGCGTAAATATAAACGATGTTTTACTTTCTTGCGCATTTGAAACCTGTATGCCAAACTGTCCACTAATAAAATAAGTTAAAATTAAACTCGAGCGCATTTATCCACCCTTTCTTTGGCACATTTATAAACCTTGGTATATCAAATAAAACAGAGGGAAATGTTGGTGTTAACAATCACCCGAATGGTACTCGTAACAAATTAGAGACGTCAACTCGTCGCCCGCGTCGTGGCCGGACGCGGTCGTCAAGTGAATTGTGACGTATGCACATACAATTGTTTTGACTAAAATAACTTTTGTGGTTTGAACGGTAGCTTTTGGTCCACTTTTTACGTCCATTTTGGCAAACTTATATCGCAAATGGTACATATTTGGACTATTTCAACGGTAAGGGATTTTTAGCAAGTTTTAACAACAAATGATGATGAAATTTGCAAAATCCTGCAGATATTTGAATATCTTTCAAATCAAACGGATCTGAATACCTACGATAATTTTATAGAAATCTAAGTCTGATACGTTCAAGGTAAAGGCAAGTCTGTCTGTCTGCGTGGGAGATGTGATGCAACCCTCTATACAGTGGGCGTATGACGCTTTACCTTGTAATTAGATAACGTTTTTATGCCTTATAAGATAAATGGAACCTTGTTGCTTACCTTCCTTAAAGTTGAGTGTCTTCGTGAGAATCGTGGGACGTGACAACATTAAGTAATTCATAAAAGTACATGCTTAGCTTTGCTTCAAATAGAATAACAATGTTGATTTGCATGCCATCTGCGAACTCAGCGCGACAGGTAAAGGATGATTCACAAATGTTTTAAGGAAATAGTAAATCTTCGAAATAGATAACGCACGACTGAACAACTGAAAAAAGATTCTAAACCTATTTCTGTCTTCCTACACCAAAAGTAGATGCGTTATGTTATGAATTTATGATTATTGGGTTTTATAAACTAAAACCGTGGTCGTTAAATCTTATGTTCGTAACCTTAGTTTAAATGTTTTTATTTTATTGTTGATACCCTTGAGAGTCACGCGTAAATTTCATTAATTATAAAACGAATTAAATTGTTTTAATACAAACATTGCACGTAGGAGGATAAGGTCTTGTTGCCAAATAAGGTTCTAGTTATCTCTGTGTATTTCGTAACCTTTTTGTCGGCAATCATTTGCATGCATTATGTCAAATAACTGATTAATCACATTCCTAATGATCACCAATATTACTGTACAAACATCGTTAAAATAGGCTGAATAAGGAAATACAAGTGGTAGATGTCTTATGTAGCGGATAGTCTGTATCAAATACAAAACGCTATTTGACAGCAAGATTTAAAGTGTCATAAATATTATCTGAAAGTTAAAAATGTTTTAAGTAACGCTATAACCTACATATTATATTATCTAGCTGTCTAATGTCACCTCGGCTGGTGATATTTTACAAATGGCAGCGTAACATCCTCATTTTCTATCTATCCTTTTTCTGTGAGGTGTTTCCGCGCTAAAACATCATAACCACCGCGCCACTTCAGCAACCTGTTACGTTTCGTTCCTACTATGTTTACGATACAACGAGTTCTATAATTGAGCGATGCGGGAGAGCTCAACACATCGCGGTCCATCTTTTTAGAATACGACACAAATAACATTCTATATTTGTAAATTTATACACCACCAGCTTCGAGAGCACCTAGGACTTTGAGAAATGATTCAGGAATCTCATCCTTATCCTTTTGGGACAAAACTCATAGTTAAGTGGCGGTAATGGACAGTATAAGGTACTTCGTTCTACTTGAATAGAATATGCTAAGGTGGTACGGTTACGCAGCAGCCATGCCGATGACCACATGCATCAATGTTTGTAAATAGAAACACAGCGTACTATGAAACGGCTTTGATCTCTCAGTTTTGAAACGATTGCTGTCCATCGCCTGTTTTATTCAGAAGAAAGTTTAAGATGAACGGGGAACTTTCAGTGTATTTTGAAGCTTCGCAGAAACTTGGCTATACGTTTCAAGTAGAGTATTAAGATCCGTGCGACGTCTAGCGACATCTCCTGAGCAAATATTCAAACTTGCCTTTGTTTACTAACAACATTTAGTGTTCGAAATGTATTTCTTATTTTATACCGGCGTCAGTCAACAAACTAGTTTTTCAGACTTCGCCGAGTCGGTTTCATAGAAAAATTAGCTATGACATGTGAAAGTAACCTGTTCAAAGGCATCTAAGGCGCATATTTGCTCATTCCATTAGCCAGCTGGTTTGGGAAGTGAAAAATCACGCTTATCGCGGTACAAACATAGGGAACGGTGGTCCGTGGCTCGAGCCATCTGTTCGTTGCACCCATAAAGATAACGAAAATGTACAAACGGGAACGCATTCACTACGTATCAGTCGTTTGCGGTGAACGCACCCGCGCCTTTACTTTGAATAAATTACGCGCGAAAAACAGTCGGCCATTTTGCATATTTCCGTACGATGTGTTCCATATTCGAGAGTACGGTGTGTATACAGCGCCCGTTTGATATTCTCTTTGAAATGTGGTTTATTTTTAATCGCGTTGTCCTATTTAATCCGTTATGCGAGCGTGGCAAGCGCCTCAATCAGTCTCAACGGTAGCCGTTGCTTTTGACGTCGTGTTTTCTGTTGAAACTATCCAGCAAAATGCTGAAATACATTATTTCTAAGATCAAAAAGGTCTTTATGTTTATAAGAGCATTTACGTGTTTAATTGGAATATGATTTTAAATATTTTTCTTTTTGTTTCAGATATATCCAGATCCCGAGTCTGAAAAGGCTATTATGGGATCGGTGGTGTACTGTATCCACCACAAGGAAGGATGCCAATGGTCGGACGAGCTACGCAAATTGAAGGTGAGTGGGAAAGCTAAATATTTGCTAAGATAAAGTTAAGTAGGTAAATAGTTCGATCGATCTATCACTTTAGTGCGCCTGTCATGTCACGACACATTTATTTTATCTGGCCGACAATAGTCTTTAGTTTATGACAAGTGCGGGTTGGTTTTCAAAATTAATTGCCTCTATGTTTATTTAGCGTGAACACGATAATTTGTACCGTGTTCGCGTGAGTATAAATATATTACTAATTAATTTGATTTAACCATTTATAAAAAAATAGCACGCTATATTCACACTAACTAAAGCAGTAGGTATATTTCATAATTAATAACAGTTCAATTAGTACTATAAACAGTAACAATAATAAACAACAAGTAAAAAAGTAAGTTGCATTTTTTTAATGCAATAACAAAACGGAACGACTTAAATACCAACATCTTGTACACTTTGGTACAAAAACACTGTTTAATGGCTAGCTCTCGTACGAATCCCGAGTATAGATTTAACGATCAAAGACGACCTATTTTATCTTTACACCCGATTCAACATCCATTTTAAAATGTGTTTTATTATACGCAGGCGCATTTGAACACGTGCAAGCACGATGCGGTGCTCTGCGCGGCACAGTGCGGTGCGATGATCCCGCGCGTGTTGATGCAAGATCACTTGCGCTACACCTGCCCCCGCCGCCGCGCCAACTGCGAGCATTGTCACAAGGAATTCTCAGGGAGCGCCTTAGAGGTAAGGATACACTTATTGACCTACTAGTTTCTTAGGAATAGCAAAATGTTTTAGAACAATGATCAGAGTATGACCAAAGCTAAAGACTAGTTTTCAATTGGATCTAGCTTGAAAAACTCTTTTATAGCTTCAATCAAAATATCAAGTAGGTAATTAAAAATGTCTAGGTATCTATGTAGGTACGCATCTAACAAACTGCTAACTCAATTTTCAGGAACATCAAGGAAACTGTGGTCACGAGCCAGTTTACTGTGAAAACAAGTGTGGAGCTAAGGTCCAGCGCAGACACACACAGCAGCACATCCAACAGCACTGCAGTAAACGACTAGTGCCTTGTAAACACTGCGGGCAGAGTTATACACAGGTAACCATCACTACCTAATGATCCCTCGAAATGTCCACACAAAAATTTTACAACAACACTTAAAATTTATCAGACGATATACTTAATATATGTCCAAGCAACCAGCATAAACATCATCTTTCTTTTTCCTTGCCATAACTAAAACGTCTCTTCGACTCTTCTCCAGGACACAGTATCAGCTCACGGAGCGTCATGCGCCCGCGCCCCAGTAGCATGTCCTCAACGTTGTGGAGCCAGTGGCGTGCCCCGCGCGGACCTGGCTGCTCATCTGAGGGACCACGCTGCCGCTGCTGCAGCAGCTGCCTTACCTTGCTCGTTCAGAGATGCTGGGTGTAGATTTAAGGTAAGACATTTTTGACTAGACAAAAAAGGTCCGACATCCTTCAAAACATTTTACTTGTAAGCCCTAAGTCTTCTTAGCAGTGTATAAGACCGAACATCTTGTCTTCAAACTCTTAACCTTTGATTTAAATTACAGGGGACAAGACAAGCTCTAGAAAAACATACGGAAGAAAGTTGCCAGCAGCATCTAGCCCTCGTGTCAGCTCTCGCCAGCCGTCAAGCGCGACAACTAGACTCCTTGCGAGCAGCAGTAGCGAGATTGTCAGTCAACTGTTCTGGTGCACTTGTATGGCGCATCAGCGACTGGGCTGCCAAAATGGCTGAAGCAAAGTGCAAAGACGGTGTCGAGCTTGTGTCCCCTGCGTTTTACACCAGCCAATACGGATATAAGTTGCAGGTGAGCTCTTAGCAAAAATTTGACCCATAATACTTTCTGAAGTTGTTCAAAGATAATTATAGTTGAAGTGAATTTTCTTAAAATGTTTGTAGAAAATGCCTCGAAATTCCACCGAAGTATTAGTCATGATTTCCAAAAATGTTTGAATTTGTGAAAAAATATGTTTGCTCCACTTTCATGCTTCACTAATTTCTAACTACCCACATTAACAATAATTTTAATATTTTAGCAATAATTTTAATTGTAATTCGATTTAGGAAATGTGTTTTTTTTTCTCTCTTTTTGTACTACTGGTGTTATTAGTTTTAAGCTTTGATTCTTTGATTCACATTAGAATGCATGCCAAATTCCCAGGTCGTTGCTACGTAGCAATCAGAAAAATATCTAGATTCAAATTGTTGGTTATAGGCATTGCAAATACAGTTATGATGGAAATTGGCAAACGCAAGGTTATATTCAATGTTACTGAAATCGTGTTACCATCCTAAATTCTTCCGGTAGCGCCGTATGCATCATATTTGTTGGTAAACAAAGCCACGCCGCTATATTTGTATGAGTCAATGATGACTAAACTCGCGTCCCCACGGAGACTAAATTAGATACTTGCTCATTCAGTGTGTAATGTAATATTTCGAGTGTAATAAATCATAGTTGTTCCTTTTTGTAAACTGTGACATTTGTTAATTAATTTAATTTTCTTTTCTTCTTCTTAAGTTTTAGTTTTGATTGACTTGGGTGGTAGCGTTATTTTTGTCAAGTCATTTTTTCGTTAGGGACTTTCTTCATCTTGTCATCTTTTGAGTTAAACTTTTTGCTAGTGTCTTTAGTTTTCCATTTTCTTCGAAGCAAACTTATGTCGTATTTTCTTCATTCCAGGCATCACTATTCCTCAACGGCAACGGAGCTGGCGAAGCTACCCACATGTCAGTCTACATTAAGATCCTCCCTGGAGAATATGACGCTCTCCTACGCTGGCCTTTCGCTCACACGGTCTCCTTCACCCTATTTGACCAGAGTTCAAGCCCAGACAGAGCCTGCAACATTGTGGAGAGCTTTGTTCCAGATCCCACGTGGAAGAACTTCCAAAGACCTTCAAAGGAACCTGATGCGTTAGGTTTTGGGTTCCCAAGGTTCGTTTCCCACGAAATGCTCAAGAAGAGGAACTTCATCAAGGACGATGTGATGTTCTTAAGGGTGAAGGTAGATCCCAGCAAGATTGTAGCTGTGTAGTATAGTTTATGTAGTTTTTAATAGACAAACCCGTAGATATGACCGATGACACAATTTGAATTAGTATGCAGGTTTAAACGTTTTAATCAGTTTGGGTCAATTAAGAGTTACAATTTTTCATACAATTTTGGTGCAAAAAATTTCGGGTAATTTTCACTTAAGGTTTTATTACATAGTTTTACCTTACATAAATATTTTTGTAATGTTCAAATTTTGAATAGAATTACAGTGAAAAAGATATAGTGGATATAGGGCTAGGATGAAGCTTAGGGTTAAATTTAACTTAATTCTAACTTCAGTCTGAACCCAAGTTAAAATAAGCAATTAACACATAATGTGTATTATACATATAGTCATTATCTACTATTAAGTAACTTGAAGTCATAGATATAAATGTAAATACTACTTTTATACGTAGTTTAATAACTTGTACATATTCTGTAAATATTTAGTTATAGGATGCGCATACGCAATTGTTATCCTTTCACTAAAGATCTCTTGAGTTTCAATGCCGGCAGAAGAACGTAACAAGCTAAGTTAGTTTCAAAGTATTTAGAATTCTAATCTCTTAGCTATAGTGTACATATTTCCTTTACTTTAATGTTTCTTGTTTTTCTGTGCCATATTGAGCTATGTTTATCTATTAACACAATTTGCAGATGTTTTTTTAGGATGTCCTAGAATTTAGTTTGGTCTAATAATAATATGGCCTGGTTTACAGATTACATAATATCTGTAGTAAATATAAAAGGGCCAATAGTAATTGCTCTTATATGAAGAGGGTCAATTAGCACCTCAAATGCACTCCAGCGGTCCCTACTAACAATGAACTAATAAACCCAAATAGGGCCATTAAGAACCAGCTTGCGCTTCTACTAACAAGTACACAAATATGTAGTTTTTGAGTTTAATTTGGGCACTATAGTAATGAAACTAACGATTAGTTCGAAATAGTTTTGTATATAGACATCCTGTATCTTAAGTTTAAATAGGTTCTAAATTCTGGTCGTCCTAATAAAATGGAAACCTTGTATAATACACACATTTTTATAGTCGACTGCAAAAATAGTGTGTAGAACTTTCCAAAAACATCCAAAACGCATTTTTGTTTGCCTTAACCGATATTAATCGAAGGCTCTTTGAAAAATGCTTTGGACTTCTTTTCTATATCTATCCTACTGTCTTCAATCTCAAATCTTTGAAACAAGACTAGCTTCGTTATATCGGCAGATCTTTGTATATATTTTCTGTTTTTACGAATATAATTTATGTTTTTTTTGTTGAATACAAATCTGTACATACTGCCTAGCTTTGTACATAGAAATGGATGTTTTATTAAAATTTATTTGATATTTAATCTAAAATTCTTATGTATTCGTTAAGCTGGAGTTACACCAAAGTGTTATGATTACTTTGCGTTTAAAATAATATGGTTTAATGTACATTTCCATTTTGCAAAGTATATCAACGTAAACACGGCTAAAGCTGTATGTTAGTTATATATTATTATATTTATCTCTATAAATATACATTTAAGTTTTTGTTTTTCGTCTTTTGTGTGTTTCTATGTATTAGCTGTCAGTGTAACGCAAATTAGTTTTAGTTTGATCTAAAAGATTTTCAAACAATTTAATTTAATATTTTTTTGTAAAGAATATAACACGCAGTTGTTGATACTGTCCTCTAAAGTACTAAAAAGCCTAATTGTCTAAAATTTTCTTGTCTAATTTGGATCTCTTGTGAAACGCTTTTTATTAAAATAATTTTATCTCAACTGTAATATTACATTCCAGTAAAAAACATTATTTTAGGTCTGGAAGCCATTTTGTAATTTATTTCAATACAATTAAGCTATGGGTTTAAGAATAAAACTAAGTTTCTAAAACTACAAATTTATATTTGTAGTTTTATTTTATTTTATTTTTAACACCAAATTATTTCTGGTGTTTCTAAAATTCATGTATGATTTTCATTTGTGATTTCTTTTTGTATAAAACTTTTTTTTCTCACAGGTAACCCTAGCTAATTGTACCTTTTTGGTAATCCTTAGATTATGGCTAGGCTATCGCTATAACCTTAGTACCTAATATAAGACTAATTAAAATTAAAAGTAAAATCTGAATAAGTTTAGATCTAAGTTAATTATTGTAACAGTAAGAAACACATGGACACATTAGTTTGTAAGAAAATGAATAGAAAAATGGCCACACTTGATTTTTAAGGAAATGGCCCATCTTAGATGATAAGAGAAAATATACTATTTTGTCAGTCTGAATACGATTTTTATTAACTTCTAAAACCCAAAGTACCTATACATAGAAGGTTTTGAGCATTAATCACCATCCTTGTTCAATGCCAGTCGGCGCACAACAACTTATAATTAGAAATTACAAACCCAGGTTTCCTTACGATGTTTTCCTTCATCGTTTGTTAGTGGTGTCTAAATAATTTCAGAAAGTATATATAACTTGGGAAAAGTCACACTGGGACTTGCCATTGGTAGATTTCTCACCCGCGCCCTCAAGCATGCGAATCGGGCATCTTAAACCTCCGGGTCAGCAGAACACAACATAAAGTACACAGTATACATGTTAACTATGTACACATGTCATATCAACATCGTATCCAGACACATAATAGAACAATACACCACTACAATCGACCAATTACATATCAACTAGGAATTAATACAAACCTTTGGTCATATCTATCACCAAGTCACCGCTAAACTAAAAACCTATTTAGATAAGTTTGCTAAATAGACTCCAGTTATAATAATTGAATGTTCAGTTATCTAAGCAATAAATATTGGAATGTAGTAAATAATTGCTAGTTCTATTTGCTTTAGTAAGTATCGTAAATCTCGTGTCATGATAGTGAAAGTATTTCGGGAATAATTAGAATACTAAATAAGACAATTATTCCCAAAATACTCTGGGTAGGTACCTTACCTTGTAGGCCAATACATCCTTACTAATATTATAAATCAGAAAGTGAGTTTGTTTGTATGTTCCGCTTTCACGCGTACAGTTAGAAGTCCGGATTAAATAATAGGGTACTTTTTATCCCGGAAAAATGTGATATTCCCGAGGGAAAACAAAAGTATTGGTATAGATGGCGCTGTGTGCATGTCACAAAGGTTACTTTTATCCATTTGTGAGGCGAGTGAAGCCGCGAGTAAAAGCTACTAGCTTTTACTATAATATACTTTTATTGTGTAGATGACCTTGTATCCGAGTTATAAACAAGTTTCTAGGAATTATACATTGATTAAACTGTCAAACACCAAGCGGTCACCGGTGACCGCTACCTATTGTTCTTTAATTGTGTCTATAAATACGGTACTCGACGAGTTAAGGAAAAGGGTAAGGGTAGGGAACTTGGTTACTTTTAAATCAGTGCCTCACTGATTGGTATAAGCATTCTTGTTGAGCATAAAATCTCAAGTTTGAACCCAGGTTGTGTCAGTCACATAGAAATGAACTATTAGTTTGTCCAATGGTTGCTGGAGTGTTATTTGTAACTTAGTAATTGATTATTATAACCATACAACAATCCTCAAACTCCTAATCCCCAAAAGGCCGGTAACACACTTGTAACGCCTCTGATGTTCCAGATGTCCATGGGTGACGCCGATTGCTTACCATCAGGTGATCCGTCTGCTCGTTTACTGGCTTATGCCATAAAAAAATACTAATTAATGAAATAAAAAATGCAATATAGTTAAATTATTTACTAAATTCATACAAAAAAGTTACATACAGATTTAACTAAAATTAAAATATAACTTACATAGCTTAAACATAGATATTGCACATTAGAAAGTAATCACTGTGCTATGTGTTCTGAGAGCTTCCTGACTGGCTGAATGTCGATGTGTTGAGAGCTGACGGTTGTTGTACTCTTTGCTGCGCTTTCTGAAATAGAAAAACAATTTGATTTAAAATTTGCTAAACAGTTCGATGTGGTTCTAACTATTTAAAAAAAACATTATTGTCATCTTGATGCGTTTGGGTTTGAATTTCGAAACTTTTTAGTAAATAACTGCAATTAAACTTGGTGTATCAATTAGCCAGTCTGTTAACATTTAAGTGTACAGATCACTCTTTATTAACACTTTGAGTACCGTCATTAAATTTAAGAACATTCAATCATTCAAGACATAATTAAAGAACAATAGGTTGCAGTCACCAGGGTCCTCGTGGTGTTTGACAGTTTAAAATCATAATACTAAGACATAGCATTATGCCATCATGGTCCTCTGTAAAAAAGTTGTACTTTTGTCTGTAATAGCACTGTCTGGCTAGAATCCAGGATACAAAACAAATAGCATTTCTTACCTTCTGAATTTGAAGTAAATAATCCATAGCCGATGGCAGTAATGGCTTTGCAGAATTAATCTCCATCATAGTCAAGTGGTCCAGCCTACCGTAACCACCTCCAGACTTCATCAGTGCATCCATAGAGGTCCGTAACTTGGACATGCGTATATCCCAAATGTCTTTAATAATAGTTTTTATTTCTGCTGCGTTTGGGACGTCTTCGGATGCTGCTCCGAGGATTAGTTTAGCTTCTACCATGTAGTGTTCATTTGGCATTTTTGTGAAGAACCTGGAAAGATAAGAGTACTGATTTAATGTACTATGTAGATACCATAGGATTGAGTGGGTGCTACTAGATACAGCATACATGTTTAGAGCAATTAAATTTTACTCAAAACCGTAATAAAACATTATAAACAGTTTCAAAACAAACTCTGGAAACTAACCTAGATCTCTTCTCTTCTTCTTTGATATTTTCCAAAGTATCGAGTTCCATCCAGTCTGGAGGCACTATACGGCACTTTTGTTTCTGTTTCAACATCATGGCAAGCCATAAAGGCATATTTATTGGTAAACCCGCACGAAATGGACCAAATTCACCGCAAATCAAGTATATTTTGTCATAAGAAAAATTTGGTATTACACTTATAATCCTGTTCTCTCCAATGAATTCAACTTCATAGGGGTCCATTTTAAATCACTTACTATTATATAAAAATGCTTAATATAATAAAGACTTGATGAAAACAAAGTTTTTAGCACAAATAATAAGTTTTGTTTTGGTTTATTTGACATTGAAAAGTGCGGGAAGGGAAGCCGGCGAATTTTACACCACAGATAATAAATAAACAATTTCGTACATTTTATTGTAAGATCTTACAGGGTAACAGTCAGTTTAATGATTGAAAATTATTGTTTTATCATTTATTTTGATATTTAAACTATGTGATAAATTATGTACGTATATTTTCATCGTTTTACTCAATGAGCTACTAGTGACATCTGTACTGCAGATAACGTAACTTTATGCATAGCTTTCATTCGTTCCCTTAATTTATTTACAGCTATACCGTCTAGATGTCGCTACAAGTAACATTTTAAGATTATCGTCATGTAAAACTTAGGAAATTGAAAACAAAACTTTCAACAAAATTATATTATCATTCGAGCATTATTATAAATTAACTCTGATCCAGCTTGATCTCTAAGTATTCTAGAATAACAATAAATTTATAGAGTAGCGATCGATGCAAATCGTTTTGGCAAAGTGCAAACTCCTAATTACTAGCCGTAAATTAGGGTGGCCGGTTGACAATGTCTCAGACGGTTGATATTTATGGGAGGCCTCGTTGGCGGGCCCCGGACTTTTGCCACCCCCATGTCTGTCATAGACTAACGTTTTATGTGACTTCGGAACTGACTTGACGGTCCTATTTCAAAATAAAATATTTGAATTTGGAACTGGGTATGCGTCTGCGTCTTAGTGTCTATGCCAAGGCTTAGCGATATTATTTAACGCTATTGGTGTATTGTATTATAAAATTAATGAGGTGGTAAAAAGACCGATATTATGCGTTGTTATGACAGTGAAGTGATAATATCGCGTATTTATACGTTTCGGAAATGTTTCACATTTACATTAGTCATTAGGTTTCGATTTTCAAAACGAAGTAACGACAAAAGAAATAAAGATGGCGTCCAAAATAATTGATTGCGATATTCGTCAAAAAGGAAGGGAGATTGATTAAAGTTAAACATTGCACCATAACACTCACTATTACCTTGGTCTCTGAGCGAACAACTACTTACTATAAATACTGTCAGGCACTGTTTAGTGATTGCAATCGTTAGACTGAGAGCTGTAAATTTGTTATTGAGCCTGAGATTGTAACAGTGAACATTATTAAAATAAGGTCAATACGTGAACTAATCTTTGTTAACCATGTTTGAACTTTGAAATTGAAAGCGACTCAGACATCTCAGTTTGTTTCGGCATTTCTTCTCAGAGTAGTCGGTACGAAATGTTGGCTTCATTTACCTAATTAAAGCGTGAATAAGTAAAACTGTAATTTACAAAAATAAAGAATCCTTTCATTACGGAGATTTTATTGTTTTATTGCTGCATACACATACCTCTACCGATATGTTTGACGAAGAGGGCTCTCGTCCAACATCGCCTACACCACCCTCCGACATCAGAAGTGGGATTCTTCTTTCACCGACATCAAATGTGAGATATTTCCTATCTCCCACACATAATTTTGTGCTTGGCGCCACTATTCACAATTTCGAAACTATGAAACCCAATAAGACGAATCTACAGATCAATCAAGCGAAATTACAGATTCATAAACGTTTTCATTGACGTTATTTCTGCGATATGAGATCGATATATATGAACTTTAAACTTTGTTTTATGGGATGAGCCGGTAGACGAGCAGACGGATCACCTGAATATCAGCAATCGGCATCGCCCAGGAGCACCAGAGGCGTTACAAGTGCGTTAATTCTGGGGGTTAAAAATTTGAGTACCTATATATTGTCGGGGATTCAGGGAATTAGGGGCTTCCTTCAATATTTTTTACCCGACTTTTTAATTCGTCTGTATGTATATATATTTTTGTGTGTATATTATGCGATTTCTCCGGTGTGTATCCAACAGTAAGTACCTGCTTACTTTGGTATTTGTTTAATTTGAGTGCATTATAGTTGGACCATTACAAATATGCGAACTGTCACGTCAAAGGAATATAACAATACGAGGGATGGGGCCCAACAGGGCTGATGCCGTTTCGGAGTCGCAGAACCTAACGGGTTACCGGGGCTCCGGCTCGAAGAGCAGAAGAAGGAACGGGGTGGTTTTTAGTCAGTAAGAGTGTCAGACTCTCCCTCCCGCCTCACCCAGGCGCGAGCAGTCATTCGATGATTTTCCCCCTTAAACTGTCAAACACCAAGCGGTCACCGGTGACCGCGACCTATTGTTCTTTAATTGTGTCTATAAAACCGGTACTCGACGAGTTAAAAAAGGTATATGACAATGCTGCATAACTGTGAACGAGACATCAAAGTCAAAGTCAAATCTATTTCAGTTAATCCTTTGAGTACCATCATTATAGACACAATTAAAGAACAATAGGTTGCGGTCACCGGTGTCCTCGTGGTGTTTGACAGTTTAAACAGTAATTTAGTACTTTTGAAACGTCAACAAATATATAATAGTCTGCCAGACTGTCCGTAAGTGAAGCTAAGTGCTCAGATAAAAATTACTTATGACAGTTGGCACATCTCGTAATGACCCCCAACTATAGTAGACACTTTGTATTTTTAATAACGCAACAAAAACATACAATGAACTCACAAGACCGCTCCTTTCAACACAAGACGATATTTACATTTGAACTTCATTCCAGAGAAAGAAACTGATGAATAATGCAGCAGGCGGTGGCTTCTACTCTGGGAGATGCAAAGGTATGTGTTAATAATAATACATACTCTTATATACTTAGCTATGTATGTAAGTAGACACGTATTGTTCTGTGAGTGATCTTGGAGGCGCATGGTTTTCAACAACTCAGTAAGTACATACTCACCATCTCTTCAATTGTCGCGGAGAACTTAACGGGTTACCGGGGCTCCGGCTTGAAGTGCAGGAGAAGGAACGGGGTGGTTTTAGTCAGTAAGAGACTGACACTCCCTTCCGCCTCACCCAGGTGGGAGGTCGCGGAGAACCTAACGGGTAACCGGGGCTCCGGCTCGACGTGCAGGAGAAGGAACGGGGTGGTTTTAGTCAGTAAGAGTCTGACACTCCCTTCCGCCTCACCCAGGTGTGAGGTCACGCAGAACCTAACGGGTAACCGGGGCTCCGGCTCGACGTGCAGGAGAAGGAACGGGGTGGTTTTTAGTCAGTAAGAGTCTGACACTCCCTTCCGCCTCACCCAGGCGGGAGCAGTCATTCGATGATATTCCACCCTAAAAAAACTATGTATGTAAGTAGACAGGTATTGTTCTGTGAGTGACCTTGGAGGCTATGGCTTTCAACAATTACTCCTAAACCATCTCTTTAACTAATAGTTATTTAACGTCGTGAGCACCGAAGTTAACCCCTGACTTGTTATTATGTTTGGTGTCAGTTGCACCGTGAAATCTATTTCGTTTTTAACTTGCCATAATTGTAGGATAGGTTGGTGTAATCCAAAATGTCGTTATGTGTCATTTAAGTCTATTTCTGCTTAGGCGTAGGAAGTTAGTGTAAGGGGCAGGATTCTAATGCATATTTTTACAACCCATTTAAAAAACAACATTTAATGAACCTTATAGTACAAATGAAGGGTTAATTTAGTCGCTGTTTCACGCTAAGTAAGTCTTTGTTACTGTTAAGAGATGATCACGGCGATCAGTTAATTATACGTAAAAGTTCTATGAAACTACGTATCTTTTCAAAATCTATGGATGTGTAGCGTACTTAGTATAACTGTAAGATTAGCGTGTGGAGTAGTAAGCAGACCAGTTAAGTGTGGAAGAGCCATGCTTCGGCACGAATGGGCCGGCTCGACCGGAGTGATACCACTGCCTCATCTGCTCAATCCTTGAATCCCCAAAAAAATCCTCAAATTCCTAATCCCCAAAAAGGCCGATAAAGCACTTGTTTTTTCATTAACATTATTTCTGTGTCCCTCTTGGTTCCCTGGTTTCCATGGGTGACGCCGATTGCTTACCATGAGGTAATCCGTCCATCTACTCGTTTACAGGCTTATCCTATAAAAAACAGATGACACGTTGTTTAGGTCTCCTTCCAGCAATTCCAGATTTTTTTTATGGAATAAGAGGCAAACGAGCATACAGATTACCTGATGGTAAGCGATCAGCGCCACCCATGGACACCTGGAACACCAGAGGAGTTATAGGTGCGGTTGCGGGCCTTTCAAAAAGGATTACGCTCTTTTAAAGAAGGTAAGGTCGAGGGACAGCATTTATCTGGGCTGTGTGTATGCGAAGAGCTGAAGACCCAACTCAGAGGTGGGTTGGTTATATTGGACTGGTTAATTAGGTTCAGCAATGGACAGAAACCAGATGAATGAACCAACTTTTGACTGATTAGTTTACTCAGACTCTGCGTCTGTGAGTCTAGATTCGTGTATTTTTTTATCAGGAGTACTTACATTTGTTTAGAACATACTTGTCTACATAATTTTCTAAAAGAATTAAATAGTTAGTTAATGGCTAGTTAAGATTATTTTTGTTACAATATTTAACTTTTTATCGGTTTACGGCTGATTTAGACAAATTGAGTTCTCTTAAAATACATACAAATGTGTAAACGTTTTTATAATGCGTTTGCTATTGCTACTTCTTCGTAATGTAAATTGTTGGTAGAATAACTGGAATAATCCGGATTTTTTACAGTTTACAATTCGGATAAGCGTGAACGTTTTTATTCGTTGAACAAATCGGAGTTCATAGGTACTTCAGATAATAGTTTTCAACAACATTGATGGTTTTATTGGCAGGATAAGAGAAAGGACTTGAAACCTATCAAAAGGTAAAGTACCTACCTATCTTATTACTTTAATTTAAGGATAACAGTATGCAGGTGGCATCATATAGTTTTAATCAGTCTGGAGCGATGTGTCCTTTCTAATCAATCAGTCAAAGTCGGTCTGACAGACAGCCTAGATTATAATTATCGTCTAATACACTAGTATTGTGTCTCTCTGCATCACCCTAAGGTTGACTGTTAGAGAATGCCACTTGACATTAAGTCCGCCATTGTATATCTACAAGAAGTGTAAATAAAATAAAAAATAAACAACTAGTCTCACCTTTTGATGAAAATACTAGTTAGTGTCATAGTGTGTAAAAAAGTTGTACAAGTTCATTCGTTTGTTCGTATGTCATTTAGGTGCATTTTAAGGCAAGTAGGTAGGTAGGTAACCTACCTCATTCTGGAAATTTCTGATATGAAAATGTCTGTTGCTAATAAATCAAATTGAAAGATTATTGTAACGATTTACTTAGATTTTCTCGCAACAAAAACAAAATAAAACAAATTAATTTACACAAAACATAAACTACGATACGCAGATCTAGAAAAAAACAGCTTTTCGAAGTAAAATAAATAACGAAATCCGTCTGCACGAATGGAAAACACACTTAGACATCTTTCTTCTTAAATCTGCATACAAATTCGTGAGATCGCGCGCAAATTCGCCCAGTCATTTAAAAGCGATTCAGTTTCAAGCGGGAGCGCTGTTTTTTTGGCCATAAATATGTCGCGAGTGACACCTAGCGATGTACTGCCATCTAGTGGCGGTGATCAGTATGTTAGTCACGTGCCCTCAAACATAGATGGCGTTGCATGTCACTCAAGATAGTGAATGTGTTTCAGAAGTTACTTTGAAATATTTTGTTTGACTTGCACGCACTTGTACTTTGTTTTTGTGCTTGATGTTTTACAAAATGCTTTTTATTCGGTGGTGTGTAATACGGAAGGTAGGTAGATACCGTACTGCTTACTGTATTTATTTAGCTATTAGCTTCTGTATTTGGCTTAGATACTGAGTTATGTCATTAATATTAATTACTAATCTTCATATAGAAAACTTTAATTCAAAGTATTTCGTGTATCCTGATTTCACCTCTAAAAGTTTCGCAGTCACCAAAGAAAAGTTTAAATTATATAGGCAGGTAGATACTAGAGTTTTTGTAGACACGTGTGACTCCAATACGAACTTAAATATCAATTATCAGCATACAATTGTCGTTTGTTTTTCTATACGTACCTACTACAATCTATATTTTTTATAATTAAAACATACATATATTTAATTTCTACAAACCGAAAATCACATAAAATCAACTTAGCTACTTAAATTGAACTTAACCAAAAAATTCTCACCTCCCTGGCGTCTCATTAACCACTTAAAGATAAGTTATAGCGAGTTACATAACAGCACAGTTTCACAGTCGGTTATTAAGTGAATTATTATAATTACACTTAGCCTCTGCCAGTTGAGAACAACTTAGTTTACTTATCTCATTCTTGGGGCCCCGAAACTTTTGCAAGCGAGTCTGTTTTTGTTTTTCGTTAATAAAAGAGTTTTGTATCCCTGCATTGCTAATTTGGAAATGTGAGGATTAGGTTTAATTATTGATAAAACATGATAATGTTGAGTTTCCACGCTCATGTCAAGGAGGACCACGGTCCTGTTGATGACGATGTTTTACTTCAAAGAATTGACCAATTGTGTACTAAAACTTTCGTGAGACATACTACATGAATTCTATTCAATATGGGATTCTTCAAAAAAGGCGTAAATAGGTTTGTAAAGGGTCGGCAAGGCGCATTCTTTAGGCCACGGTAACCACTTACCATCAGGTGGGCTGTGCGCTTTTCTTGCTAGTGTAGTGGTATAAAAAAAGAATTATTATGTTTTCGGCTCACTATCGTAACTTTTTGACCCGACTTGAAACTAGTCGAGTTCCTCGTCAAACAATTACGTGAGTAAGCCGAAAACATGATAACTAATTCTGTAAATTATACACACATATTTTGTCGTGAAGAAAAATGAGAGGTTCTCCTGTATTTATACTTTCAATATTCAAATACAGAGACGTTTCGTAGCAAATATTTTCTTTAAGATCATCATCTACTTGAAAAAGAAAGTTCACAATTTTATGTTCCTTTTTGATTATTGAAAAAGATACAAAAGTCCTCGAAAACATTTACCTTCTCAGCTTCACACGGTACCGGTACTGGACCACAGTTATCGTCCTCCCGAAACCTCCAGCATTAAGCCTGAAGGGGGCAATTAGCGAACAGATAGTACTTAACTTATAACTTAAGTAACATCAGTTAAACTGTAAGGAAAAGCCGATTTGGATGATTCATAGGTTTTCTTAAAAAGTTGCTTTTAGAACTGCAGTGCATTTCAGTTTTTGTAGCTTGAGTAAATAATCAAGTGCATCAATGTTCTAGAAGTTCAATATTCTAGTTCTGGTTATACATGGAGATAGATTGAATCACCTTTCTCTTGTCGTTGTACACGGTTCTATTTTGAAATCAACAAATGCTGCAATTTTATTATTAAAATAATAAAAGATGTGTATAACTTGAATCTAGTATCGCTTCTTCATTCTTGACGGGTCAATGTCTGATCATCAATGTCTTAAACTCATCCTGGCCAAGCAAATAGTTTAACTCTATGGAGTTGATATTGGTCTACTTCTGGATATTGCGTCAATTCCTGTACACATCGAAATTTTCTTCAAATCTTTGTTAACAGATTTTTTCAAGTTTCTTTAGCGAGCTGGCATTGTTTTATAAGATATGATGATAAATTTCTTCAAAGAAAAATAAGCCATCCCTCTGATTTGATCAGGTTAATTTGACCAATCTCTTTCGTCTTAATTCTCTTCTGGAGCAATAATATTTAGTCCTCATTTCTCTATAACCCTTTATACCTCCTGTCAAAAATTAAACTGTTCATCTTGTGCCCCTATGAGTAATGTCGTGAAGGTTGGGGGCCCCGCGATATGAGCCGTTACGGGGCCCATGCCGTGTCTACTGGAGTGTCCCTAATGGTTCAAGTTTTTGTTAGCGACTTATATAATTGTGTTATTAATGTAATGAACGAGACTTTATTGTCCCACAAGTTATGTAAGAAGATAATTTTCTTTCTAATGGTTTGTCTAGTATTTGGTTGTAGCGGTAAAAGGGAATTTGTTTTGGTATTTTTGTTATACTTCTTTGTTTACAAAACTCTCTCATTGGTTGATAAATTACAGATTAAGAAATGGATCTAATATTATATCTCTTTAAATTAAAATTATTTAAATGACACATCATTTATGAACTTAACATTTAAACATCATTTAACAAAATTAATTGATATGTACTTTTTAAATATGTTCATGTTATCTATGGCTGGTCTGCAAGCTGGCCACTTTCAATAAGGAAACCTATTTATGTTCTTCTTTTGTTTTGAAAAAAATATACGAGTGTGTTTTTGACTGGCTTGTTTAATTCACACGATAAATATTTATTGCATTATATATTGAAAATATATGTATAACAGTACTTACGGCTTTATTCAGTAACTTTAAAAGTAGGTTTTTAAAGGCTTTAAACAACACAACTATGTAACTAGAGAATTGTATTGTGAACATGATTGAAAAAGAGTATACCTATAAAGTTTCTTGCTCGTTCTTCTCCATAGGAATCTGCACCATGGAATAAGCAAATAGCTTCGCAATAACTATTTAATTTAAAAAGGTCACTTAACTTTAGGTCTTGACCAAGCACCAAAGTTGTTGCTTTGGATAATATAGAGGTACATTTTCAAAATACCAATAGTCCACGGCATGTCAGCTCACGTCATCGGGTCAAATCATCATATCATTCGTGACGGACTCACGGACGTGACCGGGTACCGAACAGGCGACCCGCGATAAATCGTTGGCTACTGCACCGGTGTAATTTGAACTGTAATGGGGGGAATCTGGAATAGAGATGGAAAAATTATTTTTAAGATGGTAAATGTAGATTGAAACTGAAAGAATATATTTATATTGTGTATTAAAGGTTATATCGACAACGACTGCCTTGTTGGCCGAGTGGTCGCCAGTGCGACTGCTGAGCAAGGGGTCTCGTCAGGCAAAGTATTACTGGGTTTTTAAAAGAAATTCTCAGTATTCACAGCACGGAGTCTGGAATTGTGTCCGGTATATGGCAATAGGCTCACTATATTACACAGGACTCATAACATAAATAGTGAAATTGTACAGTGGCATAATGTGCACCTTTGCCTACCCCTTCGGGGTTAAAAGGCGTGATGTTATGTTATGTTAATGATAACATTACAATCTAAATTAAGCAAAGGTAAAGGTAATATTAATGAAAAACGTGTTAGATACCAAGTTAACCTGAGGACAATATCAATAAAGGCTTTTTAGTTTAAATCTTTGCTCGCTTTCAATTAGTGCTTACCATGAATGTATTAATATTTTTACTCTGCATCCCAAAATCGAACTGAGTATTTCACAGTACTGCCTGCATGATTGGGGTGGTGGCTGGGTAACCAGCTGCCGTGCAACGTGTCGCGGGTTCGATTCCCGCAAGGAACAACACTTTGTGTAATCCACAGATTGTTGTTTCGGGTCTGGATGTCATTGTGTATGTGAATTTACTTTATAAACACACCCACGATACACAAGAAAAGCCTAGTGTGAGGCAACGTTGTTTTTAAAGAAAAAAAAGTAGTTAATAGTCATAGAACCTCATTTTAATACACAACTACAACTTTAAATTTATTATCTAAGCAAATATAGTCTCTATACCGCACATTTTCTTCATATTAACTTCTTGAAGCTCAACTTACACTGGGCAAGAGACGGCTCAGTCATTATTGAACATGTTATTGCTATTATAAATAAGAATCTCACGATATTGTGGTCATATTAAAATGCTTTGTTTTTCCTCGCTTTTCCTATATTAGGATGGTGGAAAATAGTTATGGTACCTTTATAGAATACAACATATTGGTTGAGTATGGTTTTATATAACTTTAACCTCTTGTATGCTTTGTATATGAAAAGTATAAATTGAAATAGTTGACGCGTAGCCGTAGCGCGTAGCAAGTTGCTACGGCGTAGCTGGTAGATTTTAGTTGATTACATAAGCCAAGATACAATTTCTTGACGTTGTTATTATTATTATGTAAAGGTATTTTGTGGATTCTGAATATACAAAAGTGTAAAAATTGTAAAAAATAATTAGTTTCGATTTCTTTAGAACTAGTATCTATTGCCTTCGTTTCATAAAAAAGAAACACAACTGTGCTGATCATAAAATGAAACTGTTACTTGCAACTTATAAAACAAGAATGTCATCTATATATGTTTCTGTGCAAAATCAAAGGAATAATATAAATTATTTTAATATTTCTTTATGCTAAATGTTCTCACGTAATTTTTTACCGGTCTAATATTACAAGTATCATAACCCATTACCCAATAATGAAATTACGTTACCCCCATAGTCTTAAGCAGGCGGTAAGACATTACCCGTCGAATGTCCCATAAACACCCATAATATACATTAAAAACATTAGAATACTGCGTGACGCCGTGGGGAGTATACCAGCTGTTTTATAAGCCTATGGGGAATTAATGTTTTTTATATATTTTATTGTCTCCCGGGATTCTAAAAGTGAGGGAAGATTTTGTTAAAGGGTAGGTGAAGAATGCTGTGTTGGTATTGTAGTGTAGTGTAGTATTCGTGTTTGTAAAGGCGTGTTTGATTATATTTTCATACCGCAGGTATTCGAGCTCAACTTCATGGTCACTACACTCTTGCCCGACGAAGTGATGAAAGTTTGAATAACTGAACATGTAGCAGTTCATTATTTTTGTATTATACATATCATAATGTGCAATTAAAGAGAATATTTTAAAAACCTTCTAACGTTCTTGTGAATAGACACTAATTAAACACAAAATTGAACTATGTTTTTATAATAACTATCGTGAGACATACTAAATTAACTAAAATCGCAGGTTACTCACGTGAGTATACTGAGAAAAGCTCTACTAGTTTCGAACCACACGCGACCGTGCACGCTGCTCATGAGGAAGAACCCCTCTGTGGTTCGAATCTAGTAGAGTTTTTTTTCAGTACATTCCCATGAGTAACCAGCGATTGTAGTTGAAACAAAATTGAACTATATGTTTTTCGGCCTACTCACTTAATTATTTGACGAAGAACTCGACTAGTAATTTAGTATGTCTCACTGAACGTGTTTGTACCTCAAAAACAGAACTTCCATCAGCATCATCACCTTCATAGTCGTTCCCTGCGATATCTCGACACCACCACCACATAAATCGTTCAACAATCTCCGAAGCTGACGAGTTTCTGTTTTTATTGCCCTGCCTACCCACAATGGGGGCTAGCGTGAGGGTACGTCACATATATTGTCTGTTCGTACGTCTGTGCAATATACTGGGGCGTGAGATGCATTAGTTAGTGATTTATCCAGTAATATCATTTTATGTATCGAAGGGAGATGATATTGTTTCAAAATAATTGAAGTTATTTTGATGGAAGGCTGATGCACGTACGAACTATTGTTCCCGAAGGAGTATAGGTGTATCTAAGATCTTGTTACTGATTGTCTGGTATATCGAAGTATATCTATGCTTCGTGTAAATTTTGGATGTTGTAACCACCAAGGTTCGAATTCGTTGTGTTTTTATTTTTTAACGGTTTCTTAGTTCAGAAGTTCAATAAAGCGGTTATGTAATATGTACGCTGACTTTATTAAAATACTGTAACAACAGTAATACTACAAAACGTCACGGCAACAAATCGTTTAACAAACATTTAAATGTATTTACATCAAAAACAGTTCCATTGTTTATTGCAAATTAAATGCAATTTAACCCTCAAAAAGCATTCGACATTCCACAACAAATTCTGTACCAAATTGGCGGAGGATCTAGCCACGATGTTTATACAGGGGAGAAGGGGGCTAAAGTAACCCATTTGAATGCATACTTGTCCGTCACTCAAGGCGATATCGGGCCGGAGCGAGCGCTGAGCGTGTTACAAACCGACAAATTTACCCCAACCTCCCTCACCCCCCGATTTATGTACTAAAACAGAAGTTGCCGGATACGAATGGCGAGTTATCGGAGTTCATGTTACGCTGGCCGCTTGCTCGTACAAGCTAACTTGTCACATACGCGATTAAGCCCGATTGTGATGTAGGCTCGCAGGATAACTGTTGATTTGATTTTATGTCACACCAAAACGTCTGTCTGTACGTTTATTGCTTATAAAGTCTCGTTAGCTTACGTTTTGTATCGACAAATAAAATTGCGTGTTAAACTGTTATGATCCCGACTGGATTGTGTTGGGAATGACATTTATTTTTTTTCTTTTTTAAGTGGATCTCTTTTATATTGGTTTTTTGTTCTGTCTTCGTGTGGAGTGATTGTGTTGGGCTGACGTTTGACAAAGATTTTGTTTTGTTACTTTCGTTAACGATTTCTTGAAGTGAAGAAAATATTTTGTCGTGTACAGAATACCAATATCTTTCACTAAATGTATTTTTTTCTGTTTGTACAATAATATAAACCATATGAATGTCGTTTTAATTTTATTCATTTAATATAATCATTTTCCCAAAATGAAACGTTCAACTACTAAGTATAATATCGAAAGGTAAAGGAAATACCGATAAAGATTGCGATGACGTGAACTTTATAGCAGACATCTTCATTACGTCAGTCTTCAACAAAAACATGAGAAAAGGAAAGTCTAACTCGATTTCACAAATCACCGAACCGACCCATCTGTTTATGGCCGCTGATACCCAAGCTATTGTACCTTTTTCCCAAATAGAAATGAACAAAAACAATTCGTACTCTCGATATCATCAACACCGCACGGAACACATTCTATTCGACGAACTTCGACCAAAACTTCCGCACCCCAAACGCACAATAAATAAAGAGGGGCGGTGGCACAACAAAAACTCTCGCAACCATCACCTCGCCACGTCACCCTGCTCAGATTTCATTACCATAAAGAACTGGAAGCCTTAAAACCCCCCGGCTGTGTAAAAGGTGACGAATACCGACCAGCTCTGCAAGACCTCTCTTTTATCCCGGCTCTCCCCTTGCTTCCCAACTATTTCTACGGCGAGCAGGGAGCAAGGGGGGGCTTGCTTGAGTGGGCGGTGGAAATCCCTAAGCGGGCCAGTCCCGGCGTCGAAATGTGCCGTAAATCGTCATAAAACTGTCTGAATCCATGATGTGACGCTGCCCGGGGGTAATTAAACTGGAATTTATAGTTTTGCGCGAGTTGCCCCTGCTTCCCCCTTTGGTTTGCCAACGTCTCATCTTGACGATCGAAACCCGTCTTTTTGTTGGCGTCTGTGTCATATTTCTTGGAAAATTCTTGTAAATAGTCTTCAATGTGGACGTTACTTGGAAGTTTTTCCCATGAAAAATTCCATTCCTATGAATTATATTGATTGAGCACTTCTTTTTTTTATAATTATGGTCTTTGTTTAATAGGAACTAAAGCACGTCGACACTTATAAGGAATTTACTGAACTTAAAAAAAATGTATTCTTTTTTAACAAACTCAGTATTGTAAATTGTATGCCGTATGTATGCCATACCCGATTGATCGTAAGAACTCCATGTTCAGTTAACTTTAACTTACACAAAAAAATCTTTCTATCAACTTAATTTCTATCATCAAGATAATCTGAAACATTTTTCAAGAGCTCACCTCACATCACATCCTTACGGAAAACAGGAGGACTTAAATCGCAATTCTTTTTAAAGAAATATGTCCGTATGTCCTCGACTAAATCTCAGGAACCCAGATTTAGTGGCATGCAAATCCGGGAGATGCCGCGTTGAACATAATTAGCGTCGGTCTGTTATGCCCACGCCCACACCCAGCTGTGGGCGGAGGTATGGCAGGATAGATTACGAAGACATTAGACGACTTAGTGACGGGTGCTGAGGTGGCACAACTTTATTGTCAAGATTTTACTTATTATCTTCCTCATTTGTCTTAAAAATCTCAGCTAAAGTTTGTATTTTGTTCTAAAATAATTTCCATAGCAACACAATGCTATTACAATTAAATACTGGAACAATTAGTGCAACGTTCTCGTTTATATCACTGCTAATTGCTAATACATGACGCCTGCGAAACATTACCTACAAAATCCAAATGAAATACTTCTCAAAGGCAGGCAAAAAGACAAACGCGGCAACAATCACCTCACGCCACTAAAACTTGATGACAGTATTCACGATAACCCTTGTTTTAAACAGAATAGCACTTTAAACGTTATATTAAAGGTATTAAGTGCATACGCGTAGCATATTCGCTGTACTAAGCAATTAGATGTATAAATAAATTCATTTTACAACCGACAGATGGCGGGAACGCGGCAGCCATCTTGCGCGATATTCATAGGTGATCTAATTAGGCCAGTGTTTTGTATTGTTTATTTTTGTTTCATATTAACAGTATTCTGTTTACAGGGGTTGTTAGATAAATAAATGTGGCTCGTTTAAGTGCTTACGTATAGGGTGCTGTAAGGGGTAGTGGAAGTCTAAATAACTGAAGCGTTTTGTAAGATAATTAAATTTTATCACCTCATTTTGAATGTAAAACTCTAGAATTTTTTGAGATTATTCTGGAAGAATGTTTTAAAAATGTTAAAACTTTTTGGTGAATAATTTTGATAATTCTATTTATAGGAGCATTAATTTTCCATGTTACTACTCCCATAACTTTTCGGGACTAATATAAATTCTACCTGCTTACGAAAACCGTTAAATAAGTCAATCTAATCTAGAGTCCTTCGAACCGT